GTAGCCCACCACAATTAGAGGAACAGCCCAATCCTCAGCCCACATGGGACTATGCAAAGGCTGACTGGCCTAAATTCAGGAAGGAATGTGTATCATTCAAGTCCTCAGAAATTGCCTCGGATGATCCAGATCTTTTTTGCCAAAATCTCACCTCAGCAATTATTGCCGCAGCTGAAAAATCAATTAAAAAAAAAGACCACATAACTGGCAAAACGCCGGTACCATGGTGGAACAGGGAAATAGCAAAAGCTAGGAGAGTGAGAAAGAAAGCCCTAAATAGGTCAAAAAGGGATAAATCAGCCTTTGCCCAAGTCCGAGCAGCCAGGACGAAAGTAAGACAACTCATAGACGATTCTAAAAAAGAGTCATGGCAGACCTTCTGCAAATCACTTAATGAGAAAACAAATGCTAAAACAGTCTGGAGCAAAATACACGCAATCAGGGGTAAGCGTAAACCCACAAAAAATTCCCAAGTTAGCCAACGCCCATACAGTCAAAGAACAGGCCAACATTCTAGCTGAGCACTTCTCATCTGTCAGCAGCAACACAAATCGCAGCGAAGAATTCAAACAGGCAAAAATGCTTATGCCTTAGATCTCAAAACGGCCGCAAAGCAAGCATCTGGTATACAATATACCATTTACTGTGACAGAGTTTGATGATGCGATACAACATAGAAAAGGCACAGCACCTGGTCTTGACACAACCAGCTACGAGATATTGAAAAACCTACCTGATCAAACCAAAGGCTTACTCACTGAGTTGTATAACACGATATGGTCCAAAGGAGAAGTCCCAAAAGCATGGAAACATGCTGCGGTTATCCCGCTGCTAAAGCAAGGGAATGACGAAGCCCTACCAAACTCTTATCGACCGATCTCACTCACCTCAAACATGTGCAAAGCCATGGAAGCCATGGTTACAAAAAGGCTCATGCATCATCTTGAAACTGGCAACCACATAAAACCTGACCAAAGTGGCTTCAGGAAGGGACACTCGTGTCTAGATCATATTCTAAGACTGGAAAATGAAATAAAAAAAGCCCAATTAAACAGACAATACCTAGCCGCAGTATTTCTGGACTTCAGCAAAGCCTTCGACACGGTATGGCATGACGGACTCCTCTCAAAACTATCACAAAATGGAGATGAAGGGAACATGGCAAACTTCATAGACAGCTTCCTGCAAGACAGGTCGCTTTCAGTTAAAATAGGGGACAATCGATCGGATCCTATGGCACTGGACAATGGCACACCACAAGGCAGCATTATAAGCCCAACCCTGTTTAATATCATGATCAATGATCTTTTTGACCATGTCAACTCTCCTACCCAAACTTCTAAGTTCGCTGATGACGGAGCAATATGGGTAAAGCACAGAGATATCTCACAAATCAGAAAAAAACTCCAGTCAGCCCTGGACGGAGTAGATCAATGGTGCAATAAATGGGGATTCACCCTTTCAAGTGAAAAAACTGTTGGAGTTCTATTCAAACGCCGGGGGAAAGATGCTATGATACCCCGTGTCTCCATAAAAGGCAAACCTATCAAATTCTAAAAATCTGCAATATTTCTTGGAGTTATCCTTGATCAACACCTCACTTGGTGCAAGCATATAGAATATGTGGAAAACAGATGTCAAAAAGACCTGAACGTATTACGGGCAATTTCAGGCACATCTTGGGGCACATCGAGGGACACTCAGCTGGACCTCTACAAAGCTCTTATCAGATCAAAAATTGACTATGGTTGTGAGGCTTTTCACTCAGCATCAAATACTGTCTTGAGGCGACTAGACAGAATACAATACAAAGCCCTAATACTGGCCACAGGCTCAGCGACAGGCACCTCACTAGAAGCACTACAAGTAGAAACGGGAGAACTCCCATTGAAACTAAGACGAGAGCAGGCAATATTATCGTTCTGGGGACGAACATCAAACCCTTTGGTTAAAAAGATATGGCAAGACAAAAACGCTCGAGATGAGGCCCTAACAATTGCGATGACATTCAGCCTCCAGAAAGTCACTACAAAGGGTTACACCCTCCCTGGACTTTACAAACTCCCAAAGTTGACACTGCTTTAACATCAGAAGTCACTAAAAGAGAAAACCCAACCCTACTACGATCAGTAGCTATCACTAAAATTCAAACTACCTGGGACAGCTGGGCCCATATATACACTGATGAATCCAAGAATCCTATCAACAACAGTGCTGGTTATGGGATCCATATCCACAGCTCCAAACCCCAAGCACATTCAGTTCGCTTGCCCGATGGTCAGTCAGTATTCACGGCTGAATTGGAGGCAATTCATCATGCACTCAAACTCATACCGGAACTCCCGGAAGCAAAGGCAGTCGTCCTATCAGACTCGCTAAGTGCACTTCAGGCCATCAGTGGAAGAAACTCAAACTCCAGGCCAAACACAGTCAACAATATTCTATACGAATATACAAAACTATCGGACCAAGGGCAACAGATGGAGCTGTGTTGGATCCCCTCTCACATAGATATTCATGGAAATGAAAAAGCAGACTCACTGGCGAAGCTAGCTCTAGACAAAGCAGATATACAGCCTATTCCCTTTAGTAAACTAGAGATAAAAAGCAAAATCAAAGCCTCCATAGCAAAAAGATGGCAAACCCAATGGGACGCAAGTAAGATCGGCAGATGGCTATACAAAATTCAACCCAAGGTCCAACAAAAGCCAAACTCATACTCAAATGAAAGGAAAATTGAAACTGCTATCTCACGCCTCAGACTTGGTCACAAAAAGCACTATGACAAGGTTTGTTCATCTTGCAATCAGGCTGAAACCATTGACCACCTGTTACTAGAATGTCAAGACCATGCCCCAGCCTGGGCTAGGTTAAAACAAGAATTGCAGTTAGATCCGCTATCTGTCATAGATCTCCTAAAGCCAAGAGATGCAATAGCGAAGGCCAAACTAACTCTATTTCTGAGAGATGGACAGCTGCTCGAACGTATATAAACAGAGCAGCCAAGGATAAAAATGAAATCATATCAATAAAAGAAAATAGAAATCATATCAATGCAAAAACAGAAATTATGTGAACACCGAACTCACAATAGATATGTGAACCCTTCTCACACACAGGAGTCCCAAAGAGGGACAGGTCAGCCGAAATTGCCTAGGCAGAAGGCGACCTCTTAAACACCTAATGCAACAACAACAGACAGAGAAGGGGTTTGACTCTCTTACCAAGCAGACCTCTCTCCCACAGCCCTGTGTGTGTACTGACTCTCTGTGGCACCCTCAGTTATTATCTAAGTATATTGTAAATTGTTAATTGTTCTTGTAAATAAAATTGTGATTAGTCTCCTGTGACTCTGGCTCTTTGCTGACTAATTCCCCAAGAAAACCAGCACGTCATTTGGAAGGTATTGTTCACCCAGAACAGTTCCATGATATGGTAATGGATAAATCCACTGCAGTGGGAGATTGTAGATGGCTGGTAGGGAATCTAGTGGCTCTGTTGTCGTTTAAGCATATGAGATTTTTGGTGTCTAACCATTCTGACATGTATTTTCCAAATTTATCCTGATAATTTTTAGTGCCCCACAGTGGGTGGTGTGCATTAAAGTCTCATAGAATGAGGGTGTTTGGGCCTATGAATTTGGAAAGAGTTTCTAAATCTTCAGGGTTAAACGGTTTGGTTTTGGTGTGGTAACAGTTAATTACAGTTATTTTAGTGTCATTGATAGTGATGTTAGCCGCCAGATTAGGAGTGGGGATGGATAATTCTTCGTACTGGATGATGTTTTTGATAAACAGGCCTAGTCCTCCATGAGGGGGGCCTGGTTTATTGGGAAGTCTGACTCTATATTGACGAATGAAAGTGTAGCCTGGCAATTTGAAGGCTTTTTGGGGAGATAGTTTTGTTTCTTGTACTGCTATTACATATGGGGCAATTTTGTTTAGGGCGATGAGGGCCTTAAGTTCATGCCCATTAGTGTTGAGACCATTACAGTTCCACTGCAAAAACACCATGTTCTGTTTTATAGATTTTTGGGGATGTTAAGGCCAAATGCATGGTGCTATGGGGCTGATTTGGAAGAGGGGTTTGGGATTGATTTAGCTTATTATTTGAGAGCTTTTATGGCAGTTTGGAAGTGTTGATATGGTTTTTGGTATAGGTTAGACACCAAGGTTTGAGAGCTTTTATGGCAGTTTGGAAGTGTTGATATGGTTTTTGGTATAGGTTAGACACCAAGGCTAAGTTGTGGCTTTTTTTTTTTGGCGGGGGGGGGGTTTTGATAAGGAGAGCTGCTGACAGGAATCCTATGATCTTGTTTGTGTTGGAATGTAGTTTTTGTGGGGTGATTGGTTTGGGTGTGGTTGACCTGAGTGATTGTATTTTCTGAGCGAGTAGTGGTTTTTTAGATAAATGTGCTTTGGCTTTGTGTGTTTTGGATTGGATTTGTAGTTGGGTGGCTAGGATTGGTGTGGCAGATCTGAAGAGTGTGTGAAGGGGGGTCTGGTTGGGTTGGGAAATGGATTGGGGGGGGGGGGGGGGGGTGAATGAGGGACATGGTACAGACTACATATAGTAGGTGGAGGATTAACAGTAAAAGATAACATTAACAACAATTGTATACATGAGTGGGTAGGTGTTGACAACAAAGGGAGAATGCTGTCACAACACGATGGACAGAGAACACATAGGTGGAAGCCAATAGGGACATGAAGCCAGTAAACAGAATAAGTGATTATTGCTTGATGAGTTCATAGTAGTCGGATGGGAGGATATAGCCTTGATCTCTGTTGATTGATGGCATTTACAGGCTGACAATAAACCCTAAAATTCTAAACCTATTAAAACATACAAACTTCAAGATGTGCAAGAATTGACATAACAATTTCATTTTCTAATGCAGAAACAAAACTTGCACAGCCTTAAACATGTTCGGCGTGCCACACATTTCTCCTCCGTAGAAACATAAAAAGTACTGGAAAAAGATAAATGATAAGACTTACCTTGTATTCTATTGCGAGACGCTACACCCTCTCGTCAGAAGTACCTATCGTTACTCCAGAGCTTACTTATATATGTTTGGTTTGCGTCTAGATATTGATTTGGTGTAAGTTAGCATCGAGATAGAATTTCAATGTAGAATTACTAAGGTTTGCAAATTTTAGAATATAGCAGGATTGGTAGATACAATTTAAAAACACATGGCCGTGATACATATTAACAATATGCAATTAATAATGCTGGTATTGTCATATGAATCCATCATGTTATTTTATTCTGTCAGTCACACAGTCATTCTGTTACATAATGTCCTCATGTTACTGACAACCGCCTTGAAAATCAATATATGTGATCTGTCATCTAGACATGTTGCCAGTTGAATATTGTTTGTATAAAATATGATTGCAAATAATTGGTATATTACATGTGATTAGATCACACATGTTGCCTTGTTGCCTTGATATTCATTCCCCTTGCACAAGGCCCCATGTTACAACCCTTAAAGTACAAAATACTCTCAATGTAAATGTTTCGTCTGTTCTTAATTCGGAATCTGTGTCCGTTGAAAACTAAGTTCTGTCCACCTTGGGAGTTAGCAACAAATCGAACATTATCTTGAGCATTTAATTTAGCTATTTTGTTATGGAAGTATGCTTACTTACTTATTTACTTTGGAGATTTAACGTGCGCTTTCCGACTGATGCGTATTTCGCACACGGGCCCGGCCAGGCCATTTAATGTGTTTCCGAAAGGGGCGAATGTGGTGTGTGCAACCCAAGAGGCGGCTTTAGGGGTTGCTTATATAGAATTTGGGAATTTTGAAATTTGGAATAGATGCCGATGGGGTTGCGGAGGAGAACTAAGGGAGCTGGGTATGGTGGATGTTTGTTTGTTTATGTGATTTTGATTTGGTAGATTATAGTGTTTTTAGAGTGCGTGTTCTGGGGTTTCTAGTTATTTGCAGTTTGGACAGTTACCTGTAGTGTGTTTTTTTTTCATTTTTTAGGTGGTTATTTAGGTTGGTGTGTCCTGTTCGGAGTTTAGTGATTACTCTGTCGATTTTGGTTTGGTTATTTGTTTGCTGAGCACTTTTTTGATTTGGCTATTTGAGTTGAGATATAGGATATGCCATTTTTTGGTGATTTTATGCTTGTTTACGCCTTTAGTTTCTGATTTTGAGATGGGTAAGTTTAAGCTTATTTCTGGGATTTTGAGGGATAGTGTGGCTGCCTTATCGGCGTTTTCATTACCGTATATTCCTACGTGAAAACTGTTCACCTATTATCATCAAATAACAGTTAGACACTAATTGAACAGAGTTCACCCTCAGAAGAGGGTTCACTTTAATGATATAGACTATACCAAGCGATTAAATTATCTGTGTCTCTTAATCCCCTATAATCCACTATAACAACATTTGGGGTGAGGGCACAGTGAGGTTAAACCGGGTGGAAGTGACAGATAATATTTTTTTTAACATTTAGGGTTATCACTATGAAATAATACTTATCAAACATACATGAAACTAATTAAATGGCCTGGCCGGGCCCGTGTACGAAATACGCATACGTCGGAAAGCGCACGTTAAATCTCCAAAGTAAGTAAGTAAGTAAGTAACTTCGCAGATTTAAAGGATCGTTACTTTGTCTAGATGTGCAGATCCCCTCTCAACAACGACCACCTGGTTGCTACATGCAGGTTTATAAAAGGGGTTATACCGATTTCTATCAAACTTACTGTTGTACAAAGGTTATCTTACGATACTCTACAAGGTAACCTCATTTCTGTTACTATCCTACCACAGTGACGTTAAGGAGGACTCAGGCCAAAGGGACCAGACCAAATCGTAGATGGCGTTGAATTGTTAGAATGGTCCATGAACAGAGTTTTAGGCATAAAATAATGGACATTTTTAAGCAGTATTACATATATCATAAACGACAGGAGTTCCAATGCAATGATGTTTTTGTGTTTAAAAAAACACCCCGTCGATTTCACAAGTACCATGTCGAGTCACAAATAGCCATGAAAAGTTATATATTTTTCGGATATGAAGTCTATGCCAGTTTAGCATATCCTGTAGTAAGACCATTGTTGATTAAAAACAGGTAAATAAGAGCAAAAAAAGGCCGACGACCTGTAGAGTATTTCATTTCAGTTAGGGACCGACCTTCTTCTGGGGGAGCTGACATAAGCTCACCGAGGAACTTTGTACCTAGTGAGCTATAAATGCTATCTTTCGACATATTTTATGAATAAATCGTATTGGATTGTGAATAGATTTCGCATGACGGATGACGCACGCCGTACAAAGACGGATGGCAATACATTGCATAAGCCTTTCGACAATCTTGTATGCATTGAAAAATGATTAAGCTAACTAGAACGGTCCTATGGGGAATTAAATACTCGTACCTCCCGCAATCGTATGATAATGTTATCATGAGTATCCAAACGTCCCTCTGAAATCGCATTGGAAGACATAATCACAACCTCTTGTTTTCTTTAAGATTATATGAAACAGGATGGCGGACCGAGTTGGATGCGTGTGAGGTGGGCTCCGACAGGTGTGTGGATTTTACGTGCATTATTTATAGCGTACACATGTACAGACGTGAAAAGAATACTTGAATCTTTAAGTGTAATTAGTGTGTTTTGTAAATGGAAATGCCTTCAAGAAGAAATAAAGCGACAACTCATGGAAAGGATCATCGAAAAAGAAGTTCAAGCGAAAAAGGGAAACCATCTGGATCACCTACAGACTCCCTGCCACAAAAACACCCAAACCAGTGATACAGTCGACTCTACAGGTACCTCTTTACAGGTATCTCCATGAGAGACCAGCACACCTATAACTGACATAGGAAAGTCGGACGGAGCTACAACGACCGGGGCAGAGCATACCGAAGATTCAGTGTTTTCTCAACTCCAGGGTATTAAATTCAATTCAATTCAATATTGTATGAATGGTCACAGGCCCATATACAACGGAGTTACATAACATATTTTATAAAATACAAAGTCAAGGTAACAATTCACTTCGTAACCAAAAAAGCATTATGTATGTACAAAGCCAGTTGATGTTGTGTTATAAGATCCTTGCAAGACAGTAATGAAGACAATCTTATAGCATTAAAATGAGATAAAGACCACTGTGGTAAGTACTTGTTTCTTAGATTTTCGTATATAGGGCAAATAAACATGCAATGGTATTCATCTTCGACAACAACGTCACAAAATGGGCATAATCGTATCGATTTCTGAATAGATGAAAATCTCCCTGTGTTAATTTTTAGATCATTCAGGCCAGGTCTAAAACGAATAAGGGTGTTACGAGAATTCCTGTACCGTAAATTTGATAAATAAGATTCTGGTTCAAGCAATGACTTGAATTGGCGATAAGTATCATATCTTGAACTATCATAAATATCTGAATGCCATTTCTGATGAAACATATCAATGGCACGCATGCGAAAGTACTTAATGAAATCATTTGCATTACCAATTGTCTGGGACAGTCAAATGAAACCAAAGCCATATGTAAAAAGCAATGTACGAATACAAGAAGCCCATGTGTTTTTTCCAAGACTGTCGAGGTGTACGAGCATGTTGTAGGCTTTCTTGGGTAAACGGTGTTCAGGCAATTTTATTATTTACACCAATACTTCAAACAACGAGTGTAAGATCCAATATACAATGGAAATCTCCCGCATTCTCCATAAACCATATTACTTGGTGTTGAGATACCAACATTCAAAAACTTTTTACAAGCGAGGAGATGAACCTTTTCAATTGTATAGAACTCTTTACAACCCCATATCTCAGACCCGTATAGTAAAATAGGTTGTATTTTAGAATCAAATAATTTAAAATACAGTTTTGGTGAAATAACTCCAAGCTTAGACATAATAGAGTGGACTTGTAACAGAGCTTTCTTTGCTCTGTTTGTGAGATTAATTACTGACCTATTCAGATTCAGTGTATAGTTAAACAATATGCCAAGGTATTTGTATCCATGCACAACATTAATACATGTACCTTTAAAAAAACATTTCTCTCTTGTGGCCACTCGAACACCTCTACGAAATATAACAATATTTGTTTTATCAAGATTAACACTAAGTTTCCATTTATCTGAATATTCCTAAAGTATGTTAAGCTGCTTCTGTAGACCAATCATAGTACTAGACATCAAAATCACATCATCTGCAAAAAGTAGCATGAAAAGTTCTATTATATCAGGGGAGAGCTGGACGCCATGTCTACCAGACTGTATGATATCAACATATAACTCATTTATAAAAAAATGAGAAAAGTATAGGACTTAAAACACATCCTTGACGTGAACCTATCAGACAATTAAAAAAGTCACTCTTAATATCACCACAGCGAACACATGATTTTACATTTGCATACATTGATTTAATAATGACAAGCATTTTGCCTCCTGAACCCTTATTTTTCAAACACCTCCACAAATTAGCTCAATTTACAGAATCAAATGACTTTTTAAAATCAACAAAGACCACATACAACTTTCTGTACGATAAATATTTCTTAATGACAGCATACAAAGTAAATATGTGGTCAAAAGTCGAATAGTCCTTTCTAAATCCCGCTTGTGTTTCAGGGATCAAATCTCTCATATTTGACCACTGTGTTAATCTATTATTGATGATAGATGTACATGCTTTACTCAGGATACTCGTTAGAGATATACCCCGATAATTGTCAAGATTGTTTACGTTTCCATTCTTGAATAACGGAATAATAATAATAGATTTTGACCAGATAGAAGGAAAAATACCTGTATCAAAATTCCGATTGAAACATTTTACCAGAAAAGGCATAGTATCGGGTAGTGAGTACTTGAGGATTTCAGCTATAACACAATCAATCCCAGCAGATTTATCTGTTTTGAGGTGAGATATAGCATTACATATTTCCGTTTCCGTGATAGGCGATTCCAACAGAAGCATGTCAACATCACTAAGAATTTCACTGACGCCATCATCATCACGTTCAAAGCACTCATTGTCTACCATATATATCGAATCATCTTTTGAGAATAACTTCTTGAAATGAT